CATCTACTGCAACTGTAATCAAAAGCTTAATATCATACTTTCCATAGAGATGAGTACCGTCTATGGAAATAACAGGACGACAATGCACAAAACCATCAATTGCTGGTTTAAATGACCAGAACACATAGTTGAAAATATATTCGGGTCTGTCCGGACTCTGCTCACACCTCCATTAACAACAGTCCCGGGAGTTGCAGTGCGGCCATGTACCTGGGCAGATTTGAAAAAGACTTATCCCAGTTGCCATAAATAAGTTCAAAGGCACGTTTGCGACCGAGATATGCCTTTCTTTTGGTTATAGTACAACCATACTCCTGGTGGACGGCTGTAATACACTCTTTAATCTTGAACCTAATGGACACTTCCAAATATGGAATCAAGACAAGAGAAATCAAGTCCACATCCAAGTTGAAGTGATTCTCATTGTATGTGTCCATTTCACATCTGTGCTCGCTAATAAATTTACCCACTTTCCACAAACCTGATTTCTTCTTGGTGGCACGCAACATCCAGTGACAACCCATAAAGTCTCTACGGCATACAACCTTGTATTTCTCCCTAGTTGATTCACTTACCGTCATCTCACGACACTCTCTTATACTGTAGATTTTTACAGCCCTAATTAGGCGAGCTTTATCGGGGAAATACATGCCCTTTGTCAGAACAGCTGGTCTAGACTCATCCCACATCGCTGACCGAAATTCATCATCATCCCTTGTGAGGGCATCCACGTTCGGCATGCTTGGCAAATTATCAAGGTAGGGAATATTCCGCTCATGAAATGGCACGTGGGACTCGTACACTCTTGGTCTAGCTGGAGGTGGAGGAACATTCTCCCTCGTCAACTCAGGTTCAACATTTACTTCCTCCTCCTCATCACCCTCATCATGGAAGGGTGTGTCATCCCCAGACTCATCCGCATTGTTGTCATAATCACTATCATCTTCATGACTCTGCGTATCTGCCAAATCACGAGTAAATATGTCGTCTTTGGGAAACTGTGTGAGGTTAGGAGCTTCAAGAAGCTCGTTTTCACTGCACATAAAGAACAAAATGATAAGTTACCCAACTAGATAAATACTTTAGATGTAGCTATATCACTTTACTTACAAGTCGTACTGTCTTGACGTTTCATGATGGATATTTTCTTGTTGGTGATGACTCCCAGATGGACCACCATGGTCCAATACTCCAGAACTACGCATATTCCAACTAGGGGCAGGGTCATAACTTGTAAAATTCATATCCGGACGGTACCCCCTATGAAAAATATGAGTGTTAATACAAATCCAATTAAAACATAAATTAAACATCGCTAAAGCGTAGTAAAATTGAAGTTTACCAGTCGTCTTGTTGATTATCTAAAGTCGAAAAATTATTTTGTGGTTGCTCATTCGCCGGTGGTGACAAGTTTAAATCAAGGCAAGCTCTTTCATCACCAATCTGTCCGGCAAAAACTGCTCCAGAATAACCATCCGATGACTGGCGGTTATCCCTACTATGCACGCCCTCATTATTGGGAACGTCTTCCACCTTGACGTACATTTCCAATAATTTTATTACAATAAATTCCCTATATTCATCCGGAATCAGCAAAAAATCTCTAAGAGTTTCATCATCCTCGATGTTAAACGCAGAATAATAAGCAAACCCATGCGGAGTCACTAAATACGGAAATCTACTGGTTATTTTAAGGTTAACCGAACGCCTCCTCTCATTCATTTTTTTACGTAACAACGATACCAATTTATCGTAATCCATAGTAAGCGGCAATTTAACATGACATTGTGGAGGTGAGCTATACCTCACAGAGTTATTCTCCAACACAACCTCACCCCCCAATATAGTGAAACCCTTATTTTTGCCACTTCAGACATTGTAAAAAAATAATTGATAAGAAGAAGAGAGAAGTATGAACGTAAGTTTGAAATAAAGTATTGAATGAATTTTTATAAAATTGAAACACCTTTAAATAAGGCAAGTCCGATGTTGGGGTGTAGAATTTTTCTATGTAAAACGCAGTACAATACTACGTTTTATGTATTGAATTATTGTGATGTCAGTTCATTATTGGTGGGGGCAAAAACCAGAGTACAACGCAATTATTTAATGTAAAACACACTATTATGCTACGTTTTACAAATGCATCTTAGTAAAACGCAGTATAGTACTGCGAATTACAAATTTTTTTTTTAAAAGTAAAACGCAGTACTATACTGCGAATTACTTTAACGACAACAATATAATACTGCGTTTTACTTATTTATGTAACTTTTTTTTAAGTAGTACAAAAGTGTTTTTTGTCCAAAAAAAAAAAAATGATTAAAAAAGTTTAGGACTCCTCTTAAAAACCTTTGCGTATTTTCAGTTGCTTTGCTGAATCAACATGTTGCCCGCGGAATTTCTCGATCGAAATCTCTCCTCTCGACCACCTTTTTGGAGGAATGTGAGTTTTTTAATTTCATTTGCTTAGCCGTCTGCTCTCTATATGATCATTGAGCACGTCTGATCCACTTGTTTTTCAGTTTCTTTCTCCAGAATCGGTGGTGAAGAAGTGCGTGAGTTCTTTTTCAAAAGAAGATCTGGTGGAGAAGAAAGTATTCGTGAGAGTTGATCTGAATGACGTCGTGTTGAATGACGACTTAAGCATCGCCGATGACACTAAAATCCAAGCCGCTGTTCCAACCATTAAGTATTTGATGGAACGCCAAGCTCGTGTTATTCTTGCCTCACATCTTGTAAGCTTTGCTATAACTATTACAAACCAAATTTCTCTTGCTTTATTTCATTTACCTTGTATAGTTATTCCAATATTACGATGCTTGCTCGTATGGCTTGGACGCTACAGGCTAGTACCAATTTAGAGATGTTATTGTTGATATTTGTCGGTATATGTTTCCGGTTTCTGAATTCTCTCTGTCCATCTCCCATCGAGCTTATTTGTTTGTTTTATTTTGTTGTAGTTCAAGATCACTGCAACGGACATGTTCTTACTGTTGCCTTTGGTTTGCTCATATTTATAAGTTTATTCTTATAGTTAAGTTAATGTCGCCTGCTTATAGTTTTGGAAGTGTATTCTGCTTAGAGACTGTTGGTTAATGGGTATCTTCTAGGTAATAGCTTTGTTTTTCTTTGTTGGTCAATTTGGCCTCAAGGTTTTCTGGATTGGAGGTTAGAGGAACAATGGAGCAAGATGAAGGGGGAAGTTTTTCTCTCGCTTGTGTTTTTAGATTGGCATAAAAAGGAAGAAACAGCGTAAAGGGTATCAGACTCAACGCGTGAATTCAGGACAAATAATATAATCTCTACTTCAATTTTTCTGGCATAATAGGATTCTGCGGAAAAAAAATGTTTTTAGCAACTTGCAAATGCATACATAACTATCTGGAAATTTTGGTTTATTATGGCTTTCCTTATCTCTTGTCTGGTGGTTTTCTATCACCCAGTTCAATATCTTCCGACCATACTTCTTCAAGTTGCTATGTTAGTTTCTGGCCTTCCTTGCCCAATACCCCATGATACGCCTGAAAAACCTTAAAATTCTGACTTTTATGTAATGCCGATGGCCCTATGCATGCCTTCTTTTCCTTTTCAGGTGTTCTGATGGTTTTGTTCGTTTTCATATGCTACTTGTAATGAATTTTCTGCTTACCGTTCTTTCAGATATCAGAGTTGAGCTTTATCTTATGCTACTTCCTTGTTAAGAGTTAAATCTCTCTGGTTTCTATGTAACTTTATTTGTTATCGTTTTGCATTTTCTTTGTGAATTTATTATAACCATCTACAATTAGTGCATTTTCTGTAATTTTTGTTCTCGTTGTCTACTTTTTGATCATCTGAATTGCAGGTTCCAGGGTCGTCCGGTATATATCAGTCAAGAGTACAATCATAAGTACAATCAAAGGTACAACTTGAAGCCACTTGTTGCAAGACTGTCACAGCTATTGGAAGTTGAGGTCTGTTTCCCGTTCTGTTTCTCGGCATCTTTCTTGTTATTGTTTCTTCTAGGGCTGTTTAAAGAAGCTTTCCTACCCCATTTTTGCCTACAGGTCAAGATGGCAAATGATTGCATTGGTCCAGACGTTGAGAAGATGGTTCATGAAATACTACCAGGAGGGGTTCTGCTATTGGAAAATTTGAGATTCCATAGAGAAGAAGTCAGGAATGAAACCGGGTTTGTAATTAAGCTAGCGTCTCTTGCAGATTTGTATGTCAATGATTCCTTTAGGACTGCACGCGGATCGTATGCTTCCACAGTAGGGGTTCCTCAGTACTTGAAACCAGCAGTTGCTGGACTCCTTATGGAAAAGGTGCCAATTATGAATTTTGGACATTAAAATGTAAGGAAAAAAAAAATTTCTTAAGGTTGGGAGAAGCGTGTACTGAGAATTAGCTCAACTGCTTAGAGCAGAACTGAATGGTTAAATTGGTGGTTAAAACAGTTTCTATGTTTGTCTTGGAACTCTTTTACTGCTTTGTTGGTGGCTTAATTTTTGTATACAGTTGTTGCTGACCGCAAAACTTGATGCTTTTAGGAACTTCGCTATCTTTCTATAGATCTAGCAAAAGCAGATAGGCCATTTGCTGCCATTGTTGGTGGTTCAAAACTTTCAACTAAGTTTGACCTGATAGAAAATCTTTTGGAGAAGGTTAACATTTTAATCCTTGGCGGAGGTCTGATCTTTACTTTCTACAAGGCCCAAAATTTATCTGTTGGATTCTCACTTGTAGAGGATCACATGATTGATCTAGCGCTGTTACTTATTTCGAAGGCAAAACAAAAAGGTGTATCTATAATGCTACCTGATGATGTAGTGATAGCCGACAAGTTTTCGGTTGCTGCTAAATCTGAGGTAAAATAGTTTTTGGCAATGCTATCTTGTTCTACTTGTAGCTACTGTCTTCGACTTTTGCTGGCTGATCCTTTTTTCCTTTTGCCTTTCAGGTTGTTCCATCAGCTAAAATTCCAGATAATTGGATGGGGTTAGATATTGGACCAGATGCTATTTTGTCTTTTGAAAAAGTTCTAGAAACCGCCAAAACAATCCTATTGGAACGGACCTATGGGAGTGTCTGAGTATGACAAGTTTGCTGCTGGAACGGAGGTACAAAATGAAATCTTGTTTAGTTTCACCATGAGTTTAATTGATGTTTTGCATCTATAATTTCTTTTTGGCATATATTATCCAGGCTATTGCAAAAAAATTGGCATAACTTAGTGGAACTGGAGTTAAAACAATTGTAGTGGGGGATGAAACTATTGCGGCTGTTAGAAAGATGAGGCTTGCAGACAAGATGAGCCACATTTCAATGGGAGGGTTTGCCAGCTTGGAGTTTCTGGAGGGGATACCGCTTCCTGGGGTGATGGCACTTGATGATGACACTATTGAGGAGAAGACGGGGCTCCCAGATGCGCCAGATGCTGCTGAACCTACTGAACAAGTGGGGCTTGCGGACAAGATTGAGCCACATCGAACTGTAAGAAGTGTTGCGGAAGCCAAATGTATATAGTGTGAATAAGTCACAACTACTATACCAAAAATTATGACAGCCACCAAATAATAAATAAGACAATAAAACAACAATAAAAGGGAACACCAGAATTTACGAGGTTCGGCTAATTTTGCCTACTCCTCGGACACAACCAATATTTTATTTCACTCCAAAAATACAAGTGAAATAATACTAAAGAGAGAAGATACAAATGCCTTAAACAGATGAGAAGGCAAATGAGAGGTGTGTTTCAATCCTAAACATTAGGCCTTCTTTTATAGGGGAAAAATCCCCCCCAAACTTAACTCCCAACCAATGTGGGACTTTGGCATTTTGCCAAACTTCAACAAGAAGTGTATGTTGGGCTTCATTATGTTGGCAGTACAGGGCACAGGGTGCTCTGCTTTTTGATAAAAATACAGATCCTTCTGGTTGTCTGTTTTGATGGCTTTGCTTACTAATCAGTTAGTGGTTTTGTTAGTCGTATCTTATTATAGTTTGAGAGTAATTCCGCGATAAGCGTCTTATTTTATTTCTAAGTGTGTATTGATGTTGTGTATTCACAGAAACTTAGACTACTCGACCCGTCATCTGCTTAGAACTAGACTTGAAGGTTTGGATAGCTTTCTCTTTGACTATGAGTGATTGGCTTAATGCAATTCAAAGAATTCTTGTACGGTTATGCACTATGCGAATTCTTAACAGTGGTTTTAACCTCAAGAGGTTTTTGCTTGTTCTCAATGGATGCTCCAACAGCTGCTATTCCCCAGCTATTGGCGAGTGGAATTTGATTATACCAAGATTAACATCGGATAAGTATGTCCACGCTATTCATACTAAACTTGCTTAATTATACCAGACCAACGTCGAATAAGTATGACCTACTATCCATATTAGCATTAAGCAAGTGTGAGTGTGTGTTCAAACCATTTACGTACTAATTTCAGATTTTGGTTGCACTGTGCTGGCTAAGATTTGTGTCAAAAGGAGAGGTTATATTTACGTGAAAGGAAAATAGGAAGAAGTTTTTTGTCCAATTAGTATTTCGTTTGTATGAGCCTGCAGTCTTGTGTAAAAGAGATTGCAGTTCCGAAGTAGATGCCGCGGGTTGACCGCTTTGTGGCCTGGCATTTTCAACAGCTCAGGGGTGTTTTTAAATCGTTGGAATCGTCTTTTCCCATTTTTTTCTATAAACTAGTAGGGGTATCATGATAAAAATTGCACGGCGCGCCCTATTTGGTCGTCCTCATTTATTCTATATCCATTTTTTAAAAAGTTTTAACTTGTACCCACTTTTTAAACAACTTTAGCCCTTCTTCTTCTTCTTCTTCTTCTGCTGGCTTCTGCGGGTGTTGGTGCTGCTATGAAACTTCAGTTCATGTGGATGATTGTCATAAGTATATTTATCAGGTTATTTAAAAATAAATTATAAATAACATTCTAAAGTAAGTACGTACATGTGTGTAAATGTAAGTCCATTTCTTTTAATTCACATTCTATTATTTTTTTTAGATTCAGCTTTGTACATTATCAATGCATTTTAACTTATTGTGCTAAATCATTATCTAGTTTTTTAAGTTACTAATTCTACTTATGATAAACTTATTATATGTACAAAAAACCAATTACATGATAGCATAAAACATGCCGAAGTTCAGCAAATACAGAACAAAACTTTAGCTAAAACATGTTGAAGTTCAGCAAATATAGAACAAAACTTCAGCTACTAGAATGCTTAAGTTCAGCGATTACAAACAAAAACTTCAGCAAATAGAGAACAAAACTTCAGCTACTATGCTTAAGTTCAGCGATTACAAACAAAAATTTCAGCAAATAGAGAACAAAACTTCAGCTATTATGATTAAGTTCAGTAATTAAAAACAAAAACCTCAGCACACTTGGTTCAACAATTTTTGCTACTTCAGGCCCGTCTACTAGAATGTTGAAGTTTGCGTGATTGCGTTTGCTACTTTAGGCCTGTATGCTGAAGTTACGCGAAAAAGTGGGTACGCTTGCAATTTATTTTTGTAAAGCGGGTACAAGTTAAAACGTGATCCAAAAAGCGGGTATAAATACAAATACTCTGGTATCCTGGGCGTTACTCGGGCCCAACAAGAACAAAGTTTTAACATTGATCGGATATATATTTTTAGTGGTTCAAAATTTAACATAAAATATTCATATATATATATGAATATTTTATGTTAAATTTTGAACTACTAAAATATCATTAAAACCTTGATCGACTTTTGTACTCTTAAATATTTGTATAATTTAAGGATGTAATTGTAAATTATCCAATGTTGAAATTCTTTTCGGATTTAAATTGCACATAGCAGACCCTACAAAGTTTATAGTTTATTTCCATTAGGATTCATATCAGATACGATTTATATATCCGATCAATGTTAAAATAGGACTTACCATTTATACGCTTAGAATTCTTGTCAGTGCTACATAGTTCAAGGGAAATCCGATTATTTATAGAGTTATGATGGACAAACGGTGGACTAAATTTCAGGAGGAAATTGAACTAGCTCCAAGGACGCTCTTTGTTTTCACTTTCAGCAACATCTGTTGTGCTTCTTTTTTTAAATGAAGGTTACATTCGATTGGGTTAGTTTTTGTTCTATATCTCTTTTTGTGCATGTGAACATAAATATTTTGAACACACTTTGTATGTTAGCTAGATCTTCAGTACTTTCCCTTTTTATTTTATGAAGGTTGGGTTGGGTTAGTTTATTTGTTTTTTATATATTTTTTACTCTACGTATGTATAAATTTTATGTGCAAAATCACGGAAATATTTGGCAAAAGACAACAATAAAACAAGTTAATATTAGAAAAGCGTTTTTTTTTTCCTCACGAAAATGTGAGTTTTTCTTTTCTTATGTCAAGATGATACTTCTCTAATTCTGGTTCACTCAGCTACGCATCTATTGATAAGTGTTGATACATTGAGTGTTTGTTTTTCTTTTTTGCTTTTAGTGTTTTGGGGTTTTATGAATAACGTGGTCATCTTTAGTATGTATCGGTTAGTGTATCTTAATGTTAATGCACTTAAACTGCTTTAGGAAGATTTCTGAAGTCAGTATTAAAAATTATGCAATAAATAGTTACTTTTATAGAAGATGTAATTAATCACATTTAATTAAGAACAATTCTTTGGTATGTAGGAAATTAGCCAAGTCACAAGCATCATTTGCTCTTGAATTATACAATATAATTCCCTACGGAGGAGTGTCAATGTCACGACCCCAAAATTACACCTTAGGAATTGTGATGACACATAATTTCTAAGACTAGGTGAGCCTAACACACATTGAGAATTTAACAGAATTAACGACTAACTATTAATTTAAAACTGAGAAATGACATAAATATACAATCCCAAAATTGGCGGTACATAGGCATAAGCTCTATTGAAATACATTAGTAATCTCTATTACAATACTATTCAGAAATAAAAGAAATAGTAGCATATGATCACTAGAAGCTGACTCCGAGACCTACGAGCGTCAACCAAATATATCTTGAAGTCTCTCCGAAGTCAGAATCAACTCACTAGCATCCGGCACGGGAAGAGGTACTTGGTTCTACACAAAAATGTGTGTAGAAACGTAGCATGAATACACCACAACAGTACCTAGTAAGTATAAAGCCTAAACTCGATGGAGTAGTGACGAGGTCATGTCAAGACACCAACTAGATATAGAAACTGTCAAGACCCAAATCCCATAATAGTTTGGGATGACACCCAACGATATTGTTAGGCAAGCCAGCGTGAACCTCAAATTTAATTATCCATTTTAACCTTTAAACTTAGAAATTTCATTAGATAAATAGAAATTAAATCTAGAACTCATGGAAACATACACGCTACTTTACTAAAATAACGAGGACAAATAGTACATAAAGTAAAGTAGTAGTAATAACAAGTACAACTGCCAAAGTCGATTAGAAGCCCCCAAAAGCCATTGTCACAAGTACACGAGCCATCTAGGGAAAATACAAAGCCATTATATATATATATATATATATATATATATATAAAGGAGGGGCAT